ATTCTTGTCGGGTGAAAAAGGGAGATGCATCGGCCACACGCTCGCACAATTTGGCTTCCCATTTCACCTGCAGTAAAGCGGAATATGTGACATAATTTCTGTGGCAGCCCGCTGTGATTTCATAAACGCAGGAGGGTGATTATAGTGTGGGATCAAGGTGAAGCTGGATTGTGGAGGCATAAAAAAGAGAGAGAGAGAGAGAGCCCCCATTCAAATGCAAATGTTCCAGTAATAGCAAAAGAGATGCCACAAATTACGGGCAATTTCTTTTATTTGTGAATAAGCGTCTCATTCTGCTCCCGGCCCTTCCTCCGGTGTTCCAGCTTTCATATCCATCTGCGTCTGTGTAAGTAATATAAATAAAAGAAAGTAACACAGGAAAGGGGAAGGAAGCAGAAATAAAATGTTGCAGAGCAGTATTTCTCAAGCTGTCCAACGTGGAGGACTGGCGTTTCCCCCTCCTCAATGTGCGAAGGTTGTTGTTGTATGCCTTTGAGTCATTGCTGACCCTACATGGGGTTTGCTTGGCAAGATTTGTTCAGAGAGGGGTTGTCATGGCCTTCCTCTGAGGCTGAGAGAGTGTGACTTGCTCATGGTCAGCCAGAGGGTTTGCAGGGCTGAGTAGGGATTCAAACCCCAATCTCCTGGAGCCTTGTCTAATACTCACATTACTACACCAGACCAGCTCTTAACCGATATTGTACTTCAAGTCAATTGTTATGGGCCTTCAAGTCAACACCAGTTTATAACAAAGGCCTTTGTTGTTGTTGTTGTGGCCCTTCAAGTCATTTCCAACTTATGGCGAACCTATCATGGGAATTTCTTGGCAGGTTTCTTCAGAAGGGGTTTGCCAGTGCTGTCCACTGAGGCTGAGAGTGTGTGACTTGCCCAAGACCACCCAGTGGGTTTCCATGGCCAAGCTGGGATTTGAACCCTAGTCTCCAGAGTCTGACTGGGATTGAGAGAGAGCTCTTTCCCATATATCTTAAGACCTGGGCAGGCTCATATAGGGAGAGGTGGTCTTTCAGATGTAGTCCTGAATCCTTGGAAAGGTATGATGGTGGAGCAGGATTTTATGGCCTTCAGGTTCCCCAAGTGGAAAGGGTTGGGATGAATTTCATGACCATGGGATGGTGAATCCACTCTGGGCTTTAATCTGAGCTTTAGAGTCGTAGAGTTGGAAGAGACTCCAAGGTCCAACCCCTTGCGATGGAGGAATACACAATCCAAGCATTCCCTGGGACAGATGGCCACCCAGCCTCTGCTTAAAAACTTCCCAAGAAAGACAATCCATGCGTCTTCCACTGTTGAACAGCTCTTAATGTCAAGAAGTTCTTCCTAACGTTGAGATAGACGGAATCTCTTTCCCTGGAGCTTGCATCCATTGCTCCATATCCTAGGCTCTGGAGCTGCAGAAAGAGAGCTTGCTCCCTCCTCAATATGGCATCCCTTGAAGTGTTCAAACACAGCTATCATGAGCAGCATGGAGTAGTGGTTTGACTCTTGGACGGCAACTCTGAGGACCAGGGTTCGATTCCCAGCTTGGCCATAAAACCCACAGGGTGACCTTGGTCAAGTCACATGCTCTCAACCTCAGAACAAAACCTCTGAAACAAACCTAACCAAGGAAACCCCATGATAGCTTCACCTTAGCATTGCCATAAGTCGGAAATGACTTGAAGGTGCATGACAACAACAATAATCATGTTTCTTCTGAACTTTCTCTTCTCCAGGTTAAACATATCCATCAGCCTAAGCTGCTCCAAATAGGACTTCATGGTTTCCAGATTAAATGATCTGTCCAAGGTGCTGAACCAATTTCAACCTGGACAGCTCCTATAGGGATGGCACCAAACCCAATTGCCATTTTTGAAGGGCATCTAACAAGAAGAGCCACCTTCCTTGCTTTGACCCTTCTCTTGTTCGAGGGCAACCTACAACTTGGAAACAATTTGTTCGAAATGAAAGCATCACCCTTTTGTTCATTGAATCTTTCAACTGATTTTAAATGCTGTTTCTCTGTTCGCCGAACAACATTGGTGTGAATGGGTTGAGAAACAATTAACATTTTCGTGTTATTTTGATTGGTTGGTTTGAGGAGAAGGAATTTAGGGCACGGGAAAGAGTCTTTCCAGGCATTTTTAAAAAATTATTATATGCACATAGTGTTATTAGATATTATATATTATTATGAGAGCCAGTGTGACATAGTGGTTTGAGTGTTGGACTGTGACACCAGAGACCAGGATCTGATTCCCAGCTTGGCCATGAAACTCACTGGGTGACCTTGGGCAAGTCACATGCTCTCAGCCTCAGGAAAGGCAATGGCAAACCTTCTCTGAACAAATCATGCCAAGAAAAGCTCATGATAGGT